TTCCTGCTTTGCCAGGGCTGAGGGCATTTTTAATGCATCTAACCAGCAGTCTCACTCAGGCGTCCCTTCCCACAGAACCGAGTCCTAATTTGACAAGTACGCGGAGCATAACGTACAGAAGGGAATCACGACAGGTTTATACCCTGTGCCCTGCTCATCTCCCCAGACAACTCCACGTTTGCTTTCAGTGACGAGTTTCCAAACTTTTCTAACAAATGAATCACTACCCATCCACCCATGTTTCTTTCAGCAGAAAAACAGCCTTGTGCCATTTCCATCATGCCGAGGAACCGCAACACAGCTGTAAAAATGCGTATTGCTAGCAGGTTGCTGCTCACGGAGAGCATGGGACCGGCATATGGATCCATGCACCAGGATCCCCCAGACCACAGCGCCTGGGGACCACCGCTCAAAAACCCCCTCCTCACACAGAGGAGCAGGGCTGGCTCCCCAGGACCCACCGTGCCAGGTTTTTCGGTGCTGAGAATCACAGAATCACAGAATGGTCGGGGCTGGAAGGGACCTCTGTGGGTCATCGAGTCCAACCCCCCTGCCGAAGCAGGGTCTCCTAGAGCAGCTGGGTGGCCACTTGCTGCCAGAGCTGCAGGAGAGCTGGCCTCAGCGCCGCGGCCCCCACTGCTGTGCACAAAACGCCCTCAGCAAATGGCTGAGGGCTCCAGTTAGCGTAATAGCACTACTCACAGTTGTCTCATGCATCAGAAAAGGCAACTTCGTGGTATTTTTTCCTGAACATTTGAAAGAACCAGCTGCTAAATACCACCTTTCCTTTGAACCCCTGAGTGTAACCAGGTAGCATCTCACCCCTGCCAGACTCCAGTTTTCCCATCTGCATTCCCTTCCCCTTTTGTTTCCTCTATTATCAACGTGCTTCTGCTTCGTCTCATTTTAAAATTAAGTTTTCATGTCAGTTCATTAAAGTATCTTGATCTAAACTTGTTCGGTTGAAAAAGAAGTAAATGGCATTGAGCGTATTTGTAATTTATTGTGCAAAACGTAATCTGAACTGAAATACACCTCTAAGGATTTCAAAGCTGCTGCAGCTCCTTGTCATATTATGCTGATAGTAGCCCTATCAGCTAATTACAGATTTTACCCTCTTTGAAAATGTGCACCCTTTTTTTTTCTCTGTTTTCTCAGCCGCAAAAGTTCCAATTTTTTTTAGTAGTACCTGATTTTTTCTGGAAGACATCTCTTCCAGCTAGACATTCTGGAAAGAGCAGCAGCAATAATTTCTGACCTATTATGGGCAAATCAGCAGTATTAAATGATCTTCAAAGCACTTCTGTGGATGGTGCAAAATGTATATAAGCTGCTACAGCCAGTTATTGACAAAATTATCTGCCTTCTGGTGCCATTACACAGAACAGCCTAATATGCATAATTACAGTAATTATGTGGAGTACAGCACAAACAAAAACAAAATTATATGCTGCTTCACACTGGCACTCTTTCAGCCAAATTCATTTTCACGTTTACAGTACTGCGAATACGGAGAATTTGAACATAATTATGAGTAATGACTCCACATTAAATCGGTGTTTTGCATCTTCAGTAAGTTGTAGGCAGCTGCTGTGATGTCATTTTGATTGTACACTAAACCACCTGAAGTCTCACAACCTGTAAGACTATCTCTGCTTTTCTTTCAACAATATCACTGAAAGTTAAATATCACAGCAACTGTAATCACCTGCTGCCTTCAAGCTAACAGCCCCTGCTTTACATAGCACACGGAGCTAGCAGGAATTACCAGTCAAGAAATCTTGACTTTGGAACCAAATGGGTGAAAATCACATTTTCAGATAATTCTGAAAAGAAACAGCCTTTCTGTTTTAGAATTTAAAATATACTCTTAAATTTCCCCCACAAAAAGGAAAAAGTCTAGAGAAAATATTTTAAGCACTATTATTTCATTTAATTTCAACTATTTTTAAGCAAAACAAAACCTTGGAGCCCAGGCTCTGAGACTGCCCACACCACAGTAACAACCTGCACGATCACAGCTGTTTCCAGAACATCATCCCTCTATTCCCTCTGATAAAACTTCAAGCGACTCTTATTTTAAGAGCGCAGTTACACGCAAGGAGAAGCCCCGTTGGGACACAAGACTAGTCCAGCTTCGGGGCTGCCACTTTGGCCAGTGGTTTGCCGGGAGCCGTACTGGACTTCTTGCTCCTGCCAGCCCCAGCAAGTGGGTGAGGTTCCAGCGCAAGGAGAAGAGGGAGATGAGGTTTGCTGTTTTAGAGGACGGTGTTGAAGGTACCTGCAAAAGATTCGTCAGGCACCAGCGATAAGATGCTGCTGTGCCGAAAGAGTAACCGGAACCCATCTTGACAAGCAGTAAGTGATTATAGCTCCGGGGTGTGACTGTAAACGGTGAGTTATTCCCAGCACAGAATACCTGCGCTTGGAAACACAGTAGCTGGAAAAGGAAGAATAAGGGATGGCCCAGTTTAAAGCCTCCAAGGGAAGAAGCTTGATACCAACAGCAATTACAGAAAGTCTTATTGACCCGGCTATTTGGATACCAGCTCTTTCACAAGTGGCGTCACCTGTTCAGGCTTTTGATACTTGGGAGCACAAAGCAGGAGAAAGAAGGATCATTGCAAGCAAGCTGCTGAGGAAAGCAAAACTCTGAATATTTTGTTAAGGGACTAAGCCACAAGAACATTTTTCCATGTTGACTCATGTTAATGATATCTTTCCCCATCTCAGAGTGGATACCCTGGCAGACATTAAACCCAAGACCACAGGGAAATGTAGAGCAAGGGAGAGTCAGCGAAGATTGCAAACATGAGAGGAAACCTGTGAAGCCCTGCCATGGGCCAGCCGGTCAGCAGGGACAGGGTGATACTCAGACTTGCCCAGACTGATCAAGCATGGGAGAGGAGACCTTGACACCAGCAGCCAGACTTCTTCAGCGACTGACCTGTCCTGAAGGTCCCCAGGTCTGAAGAACCACGTGAGCAGAAAAGCACACTTTCTTTCCAGACGTTCCTTGAGTCAGTTTCAGTTCTCATTTCAAGAGTGAAAGCTAAAATGGTTGCATTTCTTAACGAAATGAGGATCTTGGTGTTTGTATCTGTGCCTCTCTGTCTTTTGTTTTGAGTGTCTCTTCCCTAATATTTTGTGAGCCCATTGGCCAATTTTGATCTAATGAGAAAAGCAAGAAGTCTTAAAGTCATGAAGTTCCTACACATTTCCAGAAAATAGGGTGTGGGTTGAGGAGAAAGACCTCATTAATGCTGCCTGTGAGGGAAAGGCTGTCGAACAAACTCACACCTCTTTAGAAACCAGATTGCATGCGAGAAAGGGAGAGAAAGCAAGTGGTTATGAATATCTCAAGTGTGGGAAAAGCTTCACTGAGCACTCACAATGTAGTAGGCTGCAGAGGACCCAGACACAAAGCCACAGGAATCCAGACTTTCCTTTTTCACATGTTTGACGTTCAGTCTTACCATTTGGGATAATTCAGTCTTTTTTAGTTCCAGGACCTGAAATGAGAAGGGGACCAGATGTGTTTGTGTTTGGGAGCTAAGCGTGCACATCTGTGTGCTCACAGAAGATTCCTGTGGGAAGGAAACACGCCTTCAATAACACGCAAAATTACTCATGTATTTTTAACTGTCCTGAGACTGGGGAATTGCCATCTGTAATTGCTGATACCTGATGACCATTGATAAAATCAACAAAGCCCTGGTTGTTGAGTGGGCTGCATTATACGGGCAGGGCAACAGCTTCCAGTAAAATAAAGGAAGCATATGGATACCACAAAACAACGTATAACGAAGTTAAAAGCTTTATAATCAGAATTGTGGTTGTGGTTCAGATATTAGATAAATATTCTGCTTCTGTGTGCAGATGTTATCCAGCTGAATAAATTAGCTTTGTTTCTTTGATGAAATTATCTATTTAATCAAATTTAGAATCAAATAGAAGTCAATTTCTTACTAACTTCTTCACTGTGAATATGGTTTCAATTAATTTTTTCTTAATATGTTAGCATGTTGCATTCTGTGTGGTCTCTGACTGGATCTCTACCAGGTGCAGGAGCTCGGGCCTTCACTTTTCTTGGCAGAAAATCTCCCACAATTCCCCTAAAGTTCAAGCCTCAATTTTCACACTCCTACAGCACTCTGACTATAGAAAGGTCTTCAAGTTGTCACTCAGGAGCTACAGCAATCACTTCAAGACAATGACCCACAGCAGCTTTTCAAATATCTACTACATTCCTTTTAATCTTAATTTCTACAGAAACAAAATCTAAAAAAAATGAAGATTTTAAGTAGGGCAGATGATATATTAATTTAATTTCTTTAATCATAGGATTTTCAAAAATGTGTCAATTTCAAAAGAAAAATTTCCACCGCAAATAGTTGCAAAATAAAACTCATTACACAGAATATTTTCAGCTTCTGTCTCAGAGTCATGGTATTTAATTTCCACGTCTGATTTATTTTATGGGAGTGTTCTGTCCATTTTACTTTATCCCATGATCTTGTTAGAATGAATTAATTTCATGCTTAGATCAAACCACCCCCTAGTAGGTTCATTTATCCTTTTGGCCGTGTTGCTGGTGCTCCAGGGCGCAGCGCTGAAACTGCTGAGTCAGCACATCCAAGCCAGCACAACACCTTTCAACTCCAAAAATCAATGCAGTCACAACAGTACAGCACTGCTCCTGAGCCAGGTGAGGTGAAACATGGGGCCCACACTACTGTAGCAGCTCCCTATCTGCAGCAAATCTGACAATTGCTGGCTCGGGCATTTCTGCACTTGCAGAATAGGCAGATACTTCCCTTGGCGGGGGGAACCAAAACGCTCTGTGATAGGATGATAGGATTAGATGATAATTAGCTATCTACTGACCCCTGTAGGCACTTCAGTCCAGTACTGAGAGCCTCAAAAACTAAAGACTGGGGGTCTCACTCACACACTCGTCGTCTAGTGCTACACGCCTGTCCATAGGCACCTGCATTTTCAGCCTTAAAGATCCTCTGGTTCTCAAAGTTCAGTCCTTGAGCATGCCCACACAGTGCTGAGTAGGTGGGCACTACCTCAAACCTAGGTTCCCACCAGGATTTACAAACCCCGGCATTTGTCCGTTCGCATGCCTCACTGCTTCTGTCATTTGCAGGCAGCGCTACCGGGGCCACTTGAGGATAAATCACCTCCCGGGGGTTAGGGACATGACAAAAGCTGAGTACGCCCAGGGCAAAGGATGACCACACAAGCGCTCCAGTGGGAAGCCACCATCCTTACTTTAGGTACAGGACAGGAGAGATTGGCCCGAGCTTCTTCCCCCCATGCCAAGCAGACAGTGACAGTCGGGTGATGCACCACCGCAAGACAGTCACTGGATTTCACATTGGCCAGGAAGGAATTTGCCTAATCAGCACTGATTAAGAGAGGCTGGAAATGTTTTTCTACCTTCCTTGTGACATAAGATACGGAAAGCTGGCATTAGGATTTACAAAACTCTATCCTGAATGAAGATTACTCTGAGTGCAAGTCACTTACAGCCAAGGGCCAATCTTTCACAGTTTGCATGGGTGGTAGGTTGATAAATCCAGAATCATGGCCAGTCCCCAGGAGCAAAGCTGTCTGAAAGCTGCATGGGACTTTGGTTTTTCAGGAGAAGGGCAAAAAGCTGAGCATCTTGAGGAGCCCAGTTTGGTTCAACAGAGAGAAACCCTTTTTGGGTCGTCCTCCACTATCCCTACCTGGGCTCTGTTCTCTGCTCCTGCTCACATGAGAACGTCCTAACCACTGAGTGAAAATGTATTCTGGGTTCACAAAATCAGACTGGTTGAGATCTGAAGACAGATCATCCAGTCCAAGCCTGTACTCAGAGCAGGGTCAACAAGGGATCGTTGATCAGGACTGTGTCCAGTCTGGTTTTTTAATATCTCCAAGGATGGAGACTCCATAACCCCTCTGGGAAACCTGTGCCAGTGTTGGACCACCCTCACAGTAAAAAAAAAAAAAAAAATTCTTCTTATGTTTAAATGGAATTTTCTGCATTTCAATTTCTGCATTTTATTCTGTCACTGGGCACCAATGAGAAGAGTCTGGCTCCCCATCAGGTGTTTAGACACATTGATGAGGTCCACTCTGAATTTTCTCTTCTCTACGTTGAGCAGTCCCAGCTCTCTCAGCCTCTCCTCATACGTCAGATGCGCCAGTCCCTTAATCATCTTCACAGTCCTTTACTATACTCTTTCCAGTATGTCCATGTCTCTTTTGTACTGGGGAGGTCAGAACTGGACCCAGCACTCCAGGTGTGTTTCACCAGTGCTGAGTAGAGGGGAAGGATCACCTCCCTCAGCTTGCTGGCAATACTTTGTCTAATGCAGCCCAGGGTACCTCTGGCCTTCTTTGCCCCAAGGGCATGTTGCTGGCTTATGTTCAACTTGGTGTCCACCAGGACTCTCAGGTCCTTTATGGCAAACCTTCCTTCCAGCCAGGGTGTACTGGTGCCTGGGGCTATTCCTCCCCAGGGGCAAGACTTGGCATTTTCTTTTGCTGAATTTCACAAGGTTCCTGTCAGCCCATTTCTCCAACCTGTTGATGTCCCTCTGAATGGCAGCACAACCATCTCGCGTATCAACCACTCCTCCCAATTTTGTAGTGTCTGAAAACTGGCTATGCTTGGATACAGATGCTCCCTTCTTTAAGCAGTTCCAATTTTATTAGTCAATCACCTGAAACACTGTAAAAGTCTCTCTCTGGATAGAATATCAGTATTTACCTGTCTTTTAGCAGAAAGGCATGAGTTTTGCCTCAGGGTAATTTTTCCTACAAGGTTGAACTTTAAAAGAGGCAGTGCTACCATAAAACCTATATCAACTGATTTGCTAGAAGATGCCATGTCTCCCTAAAACATCACATCTCTTATTAGACCAAAATGTTTGCTACTAGTATTATTGCTACTATAAAACTTCAATCTTCTTATTTGGGCTTTAAAGAGTAGGGGTTTTGTAACTACTGGTAAAACTACTTTTTACCAGTAGTTAAAACCCCCTGCCTCTTACCTCTGCACACTTGAATAGACTGCCTCATATGTTCTGTTAAACTATTACTAAGCACATTTATTACCTGAAGATTTAAGCCTTCATTTGGTAGATCCATAGAGAGAGGAAGGAGGTACACACTGCTGGAGAGGCACATTGCTGAGCTGCCTACTTCTTCCACTAACCAAGGCACCAAAGGAAAGATCTCCACCAATACAGCTACACCAGTTCCCACCAGGCGACGAT